TCTTCGACCGTCGAGGGTGCGGGTGCCGCCGGTCCCGGAGCTGCTGGACCTGCGGGTCCTCCTGGAGCTGGAGCTGCTGAGGGCGTTGGTGCTGAGCCTACTGCTGTTGGTCCTGCCGATGGAGGTGTGGGTGGCACTGGTGCTGTCGCTGAGGGTGCTGGTGCTGTCCCTGCTGCGTCTGGAGCTGCCGCGCGGCCTCGGCCGTACTTCGTTCCGCTCCTACAGCAGGTTCTTGGTCTTTCTCCTCCAGTAGAGGGTCCACCGCCTGTCCTGTCGCAGTCCCTGCTGGAGCCTTCCTCTCCACTGCCTGCTCCCTCTCCTTACACTGGTCCTACTGGAGGTCTTGCTGAGCGTCGTGAGCCTGCGTCTCGTCCCGCGTCGCCTGTTCGTGCTGCTCGCGCTAGTGGTCGCAGTTCGCGTCAGCGTCCTCCTCCTGTCCCTGGCACGCACCGGATGTCTTTGCGTCCGTCCACTGCTCCTCTGCGTGCCCCTTTGCCTTCTCCTCCTGAGTCCTCTCTTCCTGCGCTTGCCGACCCTGAGTCGGACTCTCTTCGTGCTGCCAGTCCTACTGTCACGCGTCTGCTTGCTACTGTCGTCACTGACCCCTCTTTTGAGTCCACTGCTGCGTCTGCTCTAGTCGCTGAGCTCGTCGACTTTGCTGCTCGCTGTCGTCTCGACTACGCTGCTAGTCTTGTTGCTGAGTCTGCGTCTGTCTGTCCTCCGTCCGTCGGGGGTGAGTGTGCTCTTGGCACGGACGTCCTAGAGGACAGGCAGGAGGAGTTACAGTGTCTAGCGGCTGCTTCACCTCATCTCGCGTCTGTACTGCTTGCCCCTGAGGGAGACCCGGATGCACTAGACATCCCGACTCCGCGTTCTTACGCCGAGGCCGTAGAGGGTCCCTACTCCTCTCAGTGGCAGGCAGCTATGGATGCAGAGATGGCTTCCTGGAAGTCCACAGGCACCTACGTTGACGCGGTTCCCCCTCCTGGGGCGAACATCGTCAGTGGCATGTGGATCTTCAGGGTGAAGCGGCCGCCGGGCTCTCCACCTGTCTTCAAGGCACGGTACGTTGCTCGTGGCTTCAGTCAGCGGCAGGGAGTTGACTACTTTCAGACCTTCTCTCCCACCCCGAAGATGACTACTCTTCGGGTGCTGCTGCACATAGCCGCTCAGCGCGACTACGAGCTTCACTCTCTCGACTTCAGCACTGCGTTCTTGCAGGGTAGCCTGCACGAGGAGATCTGGCTTCGCCGTCCACCTGGCTTCACTGGGACTTTCCCTCCTGGCACCCAGTGGAGCCTCCGACGGCCAGTCTACGGTCTCCGCCAGGCACCGCGTGAGTGGCACGACACACTGAGGACTACGCTTGCGGCTCTTGGGTTTGCTCCTTTTACTGCTGACCCGTCACTGTTTCTTCGCACCGACACTTCCCTGCCGCCGTTCTACATCCTCGTGTACGTCGACGACTTGGTCTTTGCCACAGCGGACACTGCTGGACTCGCCTACGTGAAGTCCGAGCTGCTGAAGAGACACACGTGCACAGACCTGGGTGAACTGCGCAGCTACCTTGGCTTGCAGATCACTCGGGACAGAGCACGCCGCACCATTATCTTGACTCAGTCACACATGGTGCAGCAGGTCCTTCAGCGCTTCGGCTTCACGTACTCCTCGCCTCAGGCCACTCCTCTGCCTACTCGCCACTCACTCTCAGCTCTGCCTTCGGATGAGTCCGTAGAGTCGAGTGGTCCGTATGCAGAGCTTGTTGGCTGCCTCATGTACCTGATGACCTGCACACGACCTGACCTTGCATACCCTCTGAGCATTCTTGCACGCTATGTTGCTCCTGGGAGACACAGACCGGAGCACATGGCTGCAGCGAAGAGGGTATTGCGCTACCTGTGCAGTACGTCGGGCATGGGGCTAGTGCTTGGAGGGCGGAGTCCAGTGGTCCTTACCGGCCACGCGGACGCTTCTTGGGCTGACGACCAGGCTACGCAGCGGTCGTCACAGGGTTACACCTTCAGCCTTGGTTCCGGCTCTGTCTCGTGGCGGTCTACTCGCTCGTCTTCGGTTCTCAGCTCCAGCTGTGAGGCTGAGATCTACGCCGGGGCCATGGCTGCACAGGAGCTTCGCTGGCTCACCTACCTGCTGACTGACCTTGGAGAGCCGCCTCGTTCTCCTCCAGTGCTGTACGTAGACAACAAGGCCATGCTGGCCTTGTGTCGAGAGCAGCGCTTGGAGCACAGAACGAAGCACATTGCTCTCCGCTACTTCCTTGCTCGTGAGCTGCAGCAGCGTGGTCAGTTGCGACTTGCGTACGTGGCCTCTGAGGCCAACACTGCTGATGTGTTCACCAAGGCACTCGCGCCTTGTGACCATCAGCGCTTTTGCACCCAGCTGGGTCTGGTGCCTGTCTTGCCTCACTTGCTCTTCTCTTGACTTCACTTGTACTGTGACATATATATATACCTGCTCTTGCTTGTCTAGTTTTATATATATATGTCTGTACTCCTGCATGTGAACTGGCCTCTGGCCCTGCTCTTGTGCTCGGACTGTGTGGTGACTTTGTGATCCACCCTGAGCTTGCTTTGCTTTGCTTGACTGGTCTTGTGACCCCTTGTTCTCCCCCACTTTGCCTATGGGGGTGTGTCAAACATTATATATGTTATGCTTGTGTAGGCTACAGTGGGTTAGCCTATAGGGGGTACACAATTCTAGGGTTTCCTACTTGTACTCATTTCACTGCTAGTTCATTCATTCCTGTTCACTTGTTTCACAGGGTTGTCAGTAGAGTTGCGCTGTGGTATCCTCGATTGATCCTAGGGGGGTTACAGGCGCGCTCGCATGGGGGGTTATGGGCGCACGGACTCGCTATACAAACAAGCCCTTTTATCCCAATGGTCTAGTGGTTGGGATTCTAACAATATCTGCACTATGCTCGGCTCCCAGGGCACACAAAGAGCATGCTTCACCGTTTGCAGGAGTTGATTGACGGTGTGGGCCCTTAACACCTTGTCAAGATGAGTCCAAAAATGTCCATTGTTCTTGAAATTTAGCAAGTGTTTGGATCATCTAAAAATAAAAGCGCATTGAATGAGAAAAACAACCGGACATAAAAATGGCACCACGTATCACTCGTGTCTATTCTTGAAGATTTTACTTGCACAAGTGTTCCCCTATCCTATGATGGGTAAACTCAGTGTAAGGATGTAAGGATATATATAGATGATAGTTGTGCACTTTTGTGTGCATATTTCATCTTGTACGGCCTGAAACACTAGAGCGAGGTGTTAAGATGCATTTGTATGCATTCAGAAATGCCTACAATATAGCCTATTATAGTTATCTTTCTTTCAATAGGTGGTGTACCATTTGCCCTTGTTATTTTCCTATTTGTACCCTCAATCCTATAGTGAACCATCACTTCTCTCTTGACACCCTCTCGACATGCATGTTCGTACTCTAGTGATGGCTCCTATGGCTAAGGCTACTTTGACATGGTGTAAGAGCCCGCGTTTCGACCCTTGGACTCTTGACACGCGCGCACGCGCGCATATATACACACACAAACACATACACACAAACACACACACACATATATAGCCATGTAGTATTTCCATCACGCTCGACTGCAGCTGCTGGCGGCCTACAATGTGAAAGTCGTGAGATGCAGCACGACTGCTACTGCTCATGCCCGTTCGTTCTTTCTTTCTTTCTTTCTTTCTTTCTTTCTTTCTTTCTTTCTTTCTTTCTTTTTCTCGTAACCACATTTAAATGTACGTTATATGAGCCTACAAATATTCCAAATGTCTTGTGTGACGTCGAGTGTATGCATCTTACATAAATCCGTATGCACCATTCCTTGCCTCGCCAACCCCTACCGTCTTTCCGATTGAAATCGGTTGGAAACCAGGAGATAACGTGAAGAACTTTGCATGACCTGATTGCCTCTAAACGATTGTGCAAAACACAAGCTAGTTTGGGGATTTATCTCTGAAAACTAGTGGTTTGTGTCAAAGTCCTAAGGACAGCTAGGCTTAGGAGCCATGGCTATGGTAGCTTAGTAGCTTAGGTTTTGGGTTCAAGAGGAATCTCGAGAGAGTTGCAAAGGAGAAAAAGTGTTCAATAAAGAGAGAAGGTACAAGGATATAGGCAAAGCAAGCAAGGTGCACCACCAAACAATGTAACACTACACTAATTATCGCTACAAGCAGTTTATAGAAGAAATATATTTCAACACACCCCTAAACTACTTGCAGCAGGAACTATTCCTAGGACCCAACCTTTTTTTTTCCTGCCCGGAGCGCACTCAACCCTTGCCCGTGTCGCGCTCCCCTCTTAGCGGCCCCGTCGCGCCGCCCTTGCGACCCCGTCGCGCCGCCTTCGCGGCCCTGTCGCGTCGCGCCGCCCTCACAGCCCCGTCGCGCCGCCCTTGCGGCCCCGTCGCGTCGCGCCGCCCTCGCGGCCTCGTCGCGCCGCCCTCGTGGCCCCTTCGCGCGCCCTCGCGGCCCCGTCGCCCACCCTTGCGGCCCCGGCGCCGTTCTTACCGGCCCCGAGGCCTCTGCTGGCCCCGTCGCCCCACCCTTGCGACCCCGCGGCCCCACCCTCGCGGCGCCGGTCGCCACCCTTCGTGGCCCCGCCGCCGCCCTCAGCGGCCTCGTCGTCGCCCCACTCGGCCCCGCCGTCACCACCGAGCAGCCGAGCCGCCGAGCCGCCGTTGCCGCTGTGCCGCTGAGCCGTCGAGCCGCCGAGCCGCCGTTACCGCCGAGCCGCCGTTGCCGCCGAGCTGCCGAGCCGCCGAGCCGCTCTTGCCGCCGAGCTGACAAGCCGCCGCTGCCGCTGAGCCGCCCGACTCGCTCTGTCCGCTCCGCCCGGTCACAGCTGTCGCGGCCCTGTTCCTGCCGGCAAGCCTCGGTCGTTCTCACCTGCCCGGTAAGAGCAGCGCCTCTACCACTACACTGCCCTTAGCCTACTGCTCACGCTGCTCGTCTACTGCTGTCATGGCTACCCCCAGTGTCCTCGATTTTGACGTTGAGGGTTGGGCCATTGACTTTGACGTCAAGGTAGATGACCTGCAGCTTTTCCTACAGTGCGATAGGGCGGACGGTCTCTCCCTCTTTGACCTCACTTCTGGTGCCTCTTTTGCCCCTCCTGCTGATGCTGACGCCACTGTTCGCTCACAGTGGGCCACACACGATGTTGCTGCCCGTCTTGCTGTGCGCCGCTACTTACCTACCGCTGAGCGCGCACACTTTAGTCAGTACAAGAGTGCTAAGACCTTGTATGACGCTGTAGTTGCATGCTACTCTTCCCCTGCCACTGCTACACTTAGCCGCCTCATCCTGCCGTACCTCTTCCCTAACCTCGCCGCTTTTCCCACAGTCGCTGACCTCATTACGCACCTTCGCACTAGTGACATTCGTTACCGCGCTGCCCTTCTTGCTGAGTTCTGCGCCAAGAACCCCCCCCCCCCATTGTACATCACCCTCTACTACATAGTCACCCGGCTCCCTGACACCCTTCGCCCGGTCCGAGGACCACTTTCTCTCTGTTTGCCCCACCACCCTCACCGTTGACCTCCTCGAGGAGCGCCTCCTAGCAGCAGAGAACAGCATAGTCGCTGTAGGAGCCTCTCGTGGTGACCCTCGCGCCCCTATCTTTGAGGGGTGCTCCCCCTCTCCTCTCTTACTCTCTGTTGCCTCTGCTGCTGCGGCCGACCTCGTTGGTCTTGAGTCGGTCGGTGCAGCGTCTACCCCTAGCGGGAGACGCCGCCCTGGCAAGGGCAAGGGGGGCAAGGGCTCTGGAGGAGCTAGCGGGGGCGGTGGAGGAAGCGGTGGAGGCGGTGGAGGGGGTGGGGGTGGCGGTGAGGGTGGTGGCGGGGGTGGGGGCGTCAGTGGCGGCAGTGGAGGCGGAGGAGGCGGCGCAGGTGGCGGTGGGAGTGGAGGTGGCGGAGGTGGCGGCGGTGGAGGCGGTAGCGGCGGAGGAGGTGGAGCTGGTCGGGGTGGCGCTGCGCAGAGGGTCAGCTCCGGTGGTGGTCAGCGCCATCAGCAGCAGCATCAGCGCACACGTGAGATCCCTCCCCCTTAGCAGCTTCGTGAATGGTACGCTGCTCGTCAGCGGGGTGGGGGTACTGGTACGTGTACCTACGTCCTACGCACCATCGACCGCGCGGTTGAGCCGTGCGGGCATTCCCACTCCACCCAGCGCTGCTTTGGCCGCCTGACGGACGCTTGGCGTCACCAGTTCCCTGAGGCCACTGAGATCCCTCGCTGGGGCGAGCTGTATAGGGCTGTGTTGCTATCTTTGATCTTGACTTTGATGCTATTCTTGCTGCCATGTATGCTGTGACTATTAGTGATGAGGGTGACTGTTACCGGTGTTTTCCGCCCGACCTGTGCATAGGGACTGCTGCTCTAGGTGCTGGTGAGGCTGCTGCTCTAGGTGCCAGTGCGTGTGCTTCCTCAGGTGCTGGTAAGTTGGCTCTTGTCAGAACATATAGCTTGTGCTTATTGTGTAGGCTATAGTGGGGTAGCCCATAAGGGGTACAACCCAATTAGGGTTAGTACTTGTACTCAGTTCATTCATAGTTCATTCATTCTCGTTCAACTCTTCTCATGGTATCGAGCAGGTTCCCCTGTGGGAACTGTGCTTAGGGCCCACCACCATATCGAAACTTTTTTTTTCTGCCCGAAGCGCGCTCATCCCGAGTCGCGCCTCGGGCTCTTATCTCGTCGAGTCGCCCTAGCGGCCCTCCCTCCCCTAGCAGCCCCGCCACCGGTTCGTGCAGCCCCGCCGCCCGTTAGTGCGGCCCCGCCACGCGTTCGCGGCACCGCCGCCTTTCTTTTGCGGCCCCGCCGCCCTACTTCGCGGCCTCGCCGCCCTACTCAATCAGCCCCGCCGCCCTACCTCAGCGGCCCCGGCACCCGTCTGCTGCGGCCCCGCCGCCCTACGCCTACGGGCCCCACCGCCCTACTTCCGCGGCCCCGCCGCCCCACTTAGCGGCCCCACCGCCCGTCTGCTGCGGCCCCGCCGCCCTACGCCTGCGGCCCCGCCGCTCTACTTCAGCGGCCCCGCCGCCCCACTTCGCGGCCCCGCCGCCCCACTTCGCGGCCCCGCCGCCCCACTTCGCGGCCCCGCCGCCCTTCGCTGCGGCCCCGCCACCCTTCGCTGCGGCCCTGCCGCCCTTCGCTGCGGCCCCGCCGCCTTTCGCTGCGGCCCCGCCACCCTTCGCTGCGGCCCCGCCGCCCTTCGCTGCAGCCCCGCCACCCTTAGCTGCGGCCCCGCCACCCTTACCTGCGGCCTCGGCGCTGCCCTTCCCGGCCCCGGCGCCATCTCTGCTGGCCCCGTCGTCGCTCCACCCGGCCCCGCCACCATCTCCTAGCGGCCTCGCCGTCACCATCGAGCCGCCGTACCGCCAAGCCGCCCGAGCCGCCCGAGCCGCCGAGTCGCCGAGCCGCAGTTGCCGCCGAGCCGCCCGAGTCGCCCGAGCCGCAGAGCCGCAGTTGCTGCCGAGCCGCCGTGCTGCCGAGCCGCCGTGCCGTCGAGCCACCCAAGCCACCCGCACCGCCGAGTCGCCGAGCCTACTCTTCCCACCACTGGTGAGCCCCTGCCCTGCTAGCGCGCTGCCCGTCGCCTGCTTGCCTGCCTGCCTGCCTTTCGGCATGCCTGGCTGCCTGCCTTACTGCTGCTGCTCCTGCTCCTGCTTCTACTTGCGGAGCCTGATGCAGCCCCAGCGACGTCCGCGTGAGTCCCTAACGCCCCAACAGCTGCGTGAGTGGTACGCTGGTTGGGGTTGTAGGGGTGGCGGCGCTAGTACTGCTACTACTGCTGGCGGCGGCCAAATGCAGCTCCAGCGACGCCTACGAGCATCTCTCACGCCCCAGCAGCTTCGTGAGTGGCACGCTCAGAGTGGAGGGTCTCTCAGTTCTGTTCGCTGCTCTTACGTGATTCGCACTGGTGCTAGGACGGGTCAGCCTTGTGGGACGCCTAGTCACACACTGTCCCGCTGCTTCGCCCGTCTGAGCGACGCCTAGCGTACCGAGTTTGGCGACGAGGCTGAGCTCCCCGACTGGGTGGAGTTACTTAGGCAGAGGGTAGATATATTTGCTCTTGACTATGATACTATTCTCACTGCCATGTATGCATTGCCTACTAGTGCTGACCGTGCCGGTCACCTGTGCGTACCACCTGACCCGGGTATAGAGCCTGCTGCTCTAGCTGCTAGTGAGGCTACTGCTCTGGGTGCTAGTGTGTCTCCAGGTACAGGTGCGGCTACTGCTCTAGGTGCCAGTGCGGCGGCTGCTCTAGGTGTCAGTGCGTCTGCGTCCTCAAGTGCAGATGAGTCTGCGCTCTCAGGTACCGCGTCGGCTTCGGCCTCCCTCACCTTCACACCTGACTCAGGGGCCTCTCGCTCCTTCTTTCGAGACCGCACCACTCTCACGCCGCTTGGTCGGCCGGTTGCAGTCTCCTTGGCAGACCCCTCTGGGGGTCCTGTCCTTTCTCACTTCTCCAATGTCCTCCTGTGTCCGGCTGCCCCCTCTGGCACCTTTTCTGGTCTTTACCTCCCCTTGTTCTCTACGAACTTGGTGAGTGGTGCTGACCTGCAAGATGCGGGGGTTCACCAGTTTACTCTAGCGGGTGACCCAGTGCTTGGACGCTCGCAAAGGCCGACACCTGGCCACGTCTACGCGTCTGCCGGGGTCGAGCCTGTACACCCTGACCACTGAGTCTCCTCCTGTCACCGCGTCTGGTCAGGTAGCTGCGTCGGGTCAGGTGTTTGCTGCAGCGTCCAGGTCTGGTCCTGAGTCTGCCCCCTGCGCGTGTCGCCACCTGTCTCACGAGACTCTCCTGTGGCACCATGGTCTTGGTCACCCCTCCCTGCCTCGTCTCCGAGGCATGGCCTCCCGTGTCCTTGTCTCTGGTCTTCCCCGGTACCTCCCTCCCCTTCCTCCGGGGCCTGGCCCCACCTGCGTCCCCTGTGTTGAGGGGCGGCAGCGGGCGGCCCCCCACTCCTCCCAGTTTCCTCTGACAGAGGCCCCGTTGCAGACGCTTCACATGGACGTGTGGGGCCCAGCCCGCGTCCGTGGACAGGGTCACGAGCGCTACTTCCTGCTCGTTGTTGACGACTACTCGCGTTACACCGCAGTCTTCCCTTTGCGCAACAAGGGTGATGTCACTGAGGTGCTGATCGACTGGATCCGCGCAGCTCGTCTCCAGCTCAGGCAGAGCTTTGGCTCGGACTTTCCTGTTCTGCGTCTGCACTCGGACAGAGGCGGAGAGTTTTCTTCTGACCTTCTGAGAGCCTACTGTCGCGCACAAGCGATTCGTCTGACCTTCACACTTCCGGACTCCCCGCAGCAAAATGGGATTGCTGAGCGCTGCATTGGCATGGTCATGGACGTCGCTCATACGTCTATGATGCATGCGGCTGCTCCCCATTTTCTGTGGCCGTTTGCGGTGAGGTACGCGGCGCATCAGCTCAACCTACACCCCAGGGTCTCCCGGCCGGAGACCTCCCCAGCCTTGCTGTGGACGGGGAAGGTTGGCGATGCGTCGGCGTTCCGGGTCTGGGGATCTCGGGCGTTTGTCCGCGACTTGTCTGCGGACAAGCTGTCCCCTCGTGCTGCTCCTTGCGTCTTCCTGGGGTTCCACCTGACGCGCCTGGGTGGCAGTTCTACCACCCCACCTCTCACCGTGTTCTGTCCTCCTAGGACGTCACGTTTAACGAGTCGGTCCCCTACTACCGCCTCTTCCCCTACCGCACTCCGTCCCTCCCCCTGCCGCCGCTCTTCCTTGTACCAGGTCCCCCTCCGGTAGACCCCCTCCCCCCTCAGGGTCCGTCCCCTTCAGGTGTGTCCTAGGTAGATGCGGTCGAGCCTGTCGAGGTCACTAATGACTCTGGTGCTGCTGAGGGTGCAAAGCCTAGGGGTGCTGACGCTGGGGGTGCTGAGCCTGGGGGTACTGAGCCTGGGGGTGCTGAGCTTTGGGGTACTGAGCCTGGGGGTGCTGTGACTGGGGGTACTGAGCCTGGGGGTACTGAGCCTGGGGGTGCTGTGCCTGGGGGTGCTGCGCCTGGGGGTGCTAAGCCTGGGGGTGCTGAGCCTGGGGGTCCTAAGCCTGGGGGTGCTGAGCTTGGAGGTGCTCCGCCTGGAGTTTCTCCGGGTGCTTCGTCTCTTCGGGAGCCACTCTCTCCACGGGAGCTGCGCGAGTGGTTTGCCCGGCGCTGGAGGCGTGCTGCTGGTGCTGGAGGTTCTTCGACTACTGAGGGTGCTGCTGTCGCGGGTCCCGGAGGTGCTTGTACTGGGAGTACTGGAGCTGCTGGGCCTGCGGGTTCGACTAGAGCTGGTGCTGCTGAGGGCGTTGGAGCTGAGACTGCTGCTGGAGGTCCTGCTGCGGGTACTACTGGTGGAGCTGGAGGTGCTCTTGGCGCTGGTGCTGTCGCTGGGGGTGCTGGTGCTGTCCCTGCTGTGTCTGGAGTCGCCGCGCGGCCTCGGCCGTACATCGTTCCCCTCCTTCAGCAGGTTCTTGGTCTCCCGTCTTCTACTGGTCCTTTTCCTCCTCCCTTAGAGTGTCCACAGCCTGTCCCGTCGCAGTTACAGTTACAGCCGGCCTCCCCACTGCCTGCTCCGTGTCCCTACACTGGTCCTACTGGAGGTCTTGCTGAGCGTTGTGAGCCTGCGTCTCGACCTGTGTCGCCTGTTCGTGCTGCTCGCACTAGTGGTCGCAAATCGCGTCAGCGTCCTCCTCCTGTCCCTGGCACGCACCGGATGTCTCTGCGTCCGTCCACTGCTCCTCTGCGTGCCCCTTTCCCTTCTCCTCCTGAGTCTTCTCTTCCTGCTCTTGCCGACCCGGAGTCGGACTCTCTTAGTGCTGCCAGTTCTACTGTCACGCGTCTCCTGGCTACTGTTGTCACTGACCCTTCTTTCGAGTCCACTGCTACGTGTGCCCTAGTTGCTGAGCTCGTCGACTTTGCTGCTCGCTTTCGCCTAGACTACGCTGCTAGTCTTGTTGCTGAGTCTGAGTCTGTCTGTCCTTCGTCCGTTGGGGGTGAGTGTGCCCTTGGCACGGACGTCCTTGAGGACAGGCAG